TTGTTCATTTTTTTAACTCTTTTTTAGCAACTCGACTTTTTATTTTTCCAGTATTATTCTTATACACATTCAAAAATCGCACGATTATATTCGCATGCATGCACATTTTCCTAACTAAAGGTAGTATACATCTATTGCGAAAAAAGGTACATATTTTACAAGAATATCAAATAATGTTATCCATTATAGTTATGTTACACGTTTATATAATAAGATTTTCTATTTTGAAACATTTTTTCTTTGAACATATTATTACTATTATTACAATACATAATGTATTAACTTACGCTTGTGGACTATTTAGTCGACTGTAATGAATTGTTAAATAAATATATACATTTTATAGCTACGCTAAGTCAACTGTTGATATTATGTATAATGTTTGTGAAAAGAATGTTTTAGTGCATCCGAATGTTGAATATAACATTTATTATTATTGTATTTACCTTCTACGATTAATATACATTAAATATTTCAAGTTGTATTTGAGGTTAAAATTAGTTTGAAAATTAATTGATCGTGTACATAAAAAAATAACGATTGACTTTCAAAATAACTATTGTGAATATATAAAATAAAGCAAACACATGTGAAAAAAATGTTAGCAATTGCGGTGATATATAAATCGTAATTGAGTTTTACGATGATAATATAAGTGTTCGAAATTATAGTGATGTTATTCTTGGCTCGAACTGCTAATGCTTCAATAGCTTAGTTTGCCGCCCGCCCTAGCAGACGCTCGGGAAGGAGAGCGATGGAGGGGGTGTGCAAGAGTCGTGAGAGTTGGTTAATTATACATTTATTATACAATTTATTACACAATTTACATATGGGTGTTGTAGAATCTTCTTAAATTTTATATGAAGATACGATTTCTTGAACATCTTTTTATATACGAGGTGTCACTACACAAGATGCCTTGAAATCGTTGAATTGATGTTGAATTACAATTACACAGGTAAATAATTACTGCACACTTCTTGTCAGAGAGTGTGATATAATGTTAATGGTTGTATTGTGCCGGTTTTGCCGCCGGCTGGCAATAATTTGTGTACTCACAGCGATATCGTAGTTTTGATCTGATCCAGGGGTGAGTTGGTCACAAGAGCAGGCGGCAAAGCAAATGCGTGCAGGATGCAGTAGTCTTGCTCTGAATTACTAACACTTATTTCTGCGTTGAGTTATCTTCAGACTGGCTTCTATGGACAATTAGTTTCTATTACTTGACTTTCCTTAAGATAGCCCTTGACTGCCCACTCGAGCCTTTTCTTGAATTATCTCTGCGGACAGTACTTGACTGTCCACAGCCCTTGGCTGCCCACGCGGACAGCGTATTCCAATTGTCCCCCGCGGACAGCGACTTTTTGCTGCCTTGTTCCCATCTTTAAGGCCTCTTGCCATGAGTACCCACTCAAGGAGCTTCTGGTCTTAGTTTTCCAATCAAGACGCACCGCTTTTCGGCGGCATGATGAATGTGCACGCCCTTTTCCCACTTCATAAGAAATTAGGCTGAGACAATGAGAATATCGAAGGGGTATCTCTGGCGGCAATGCGCGAAGTGGAAGATTTGCCCCTCTCCGGGACTCATCGTGGTGGGGGTGATTTTTGGTCAAGCGTCTTTGCTTGGCCTATGCAAGCAGCAACATTTGTCGTTCTTGGCAACAATGCATGCTTGCTGGTGGCATTGAAGGCACACGTGCGGCGCAGATTGCCGAACGTCGCACGTACCGTGTTTCGGGTTGCAATAGATTTTAGGAAATGTTTTTCACTCGATTGTTTTCAAATATCTTACGCCTCAAAATATTCTCGCGTAAACTGGCTAGCCGGGTTTTGATGGTAAGTCGCAAGGGTCTTCATTGCATTCAAACAATTACTACGTCTGTAGTACGAAAGGCAATAATGGCTGCTTACGAGTTCACAGATGTACAAACCTTTTCGAGTCTCATGCAACCTTGGCGAGACTTTCCTAGTTTTTTGTATCCGTTCGATAATTCTCTCTTATCAGCTGTTGAAATTTTTTCTAGTAAATTATCTAGTAAATCTAAAAAATCTAGTAAATCTTTCAAGAGATTTTCTTTTCAGTCTCGAACAATAAGTGTTACGGTAGTAACATTATTCATATAAAAAACTATGATAAAAAAAGCCTAAAGGAAAATTTATGAAGCTGATAATGGAAAAAATGTTTAAAAATTAAGATTTAGTGTAGATAGGGAATGCTGATTCTTTATAAACACAAGTAGGAGAGCTTTTCAATTTAGTAGTGCACGCCAAAGTATGGAGAAACTCTGCGAAAAAGTGACACTTATACATTGAAATAATATTGAAATTATACACTGTACTTTAATAATTGGTCTAGATCAGTTTGAACACGATGTATCGTTTCCTTTTGTCCCCTCTATCATATATTTTCCTTGTGCACCGTTACTCCACTCCAATAACATGTAGAGTACATTGTACGGAAATTGTTGAAGGTGAAAAAGAGAAAAGCAGGAACAAGAGAAGTAATGAGATGAGTGTATCTTATACTAAATATCTTACACTAAAATTGAACAACAGTCTTGTATTTGCTATTATTTGTCTTATATTGCCGCTATATAGAAGTATCGTATTAATGTTGTATCACGGTAATTTAAACCTTCTTTCTTCGAAATCTTCCTTATATAAATTATTTAAATATATCAAAGTAACAAGACTTCAGTAGAAAATTTACAAGTTAAATGAAGACTATTGCATAGATACATGTAGAGGCAATTGTATATTGGTGCTTATTTATGTTGTGTTAACGCCGATGATACATTTTTAAGCATCTCTTTTTTCAAACGACGTTTAAATTGTAATTGTCGCTAAAAAAAAAATAGAAAATAATGGTGATGAACAAGACGTGAGGTCATTGTAAAAATAGATCTGTAAAGATTGTAAACTGCCGATGTTCGAAATCAGCAAATGGTACGAGCCCTACTAAATCTAAGTACGGCTTTCTTTATTTTTTAAGCAGAGCTTTCATCACGACTCGATGAGTGTGGATAACGCAGCATTATTCAGTAGTCTTTAAGATTATAATTCTAAAATGGAAACTAGAGAAAAAGTTTTTCTCTCAAGTTGACTCTGAATGTCAAATGAGCAAAGTTAACTTTTATATACTTTTAAATTTATGCATTTTGAAAATGCAAATTTTTAATTTATGCATCTTCTGCGACAACGTTCTATCTGAATTATTAGTGGAGCTATTGAATGCAATAGTATGTTTATGAATGAATCCGTATATATTATGGTTAGTATTTTCATAAATTGTTATTTTTTCCTTGTGATTTAATGCATCGCAAGTCATCTATTTATTGACGTTGCGTCATAATAAAATGCAATTATTTCGTTTTAAAATTATTTGACTAAACTCTATGTTGAGAAAAATTAGTAACATAGTTGAGTTTATTTACAATACTTTATTAAACAGTTTTTAATACTATATAAATTAGATCATATAGCTGAATATTATAAAATTAATTTTTCTATTATTTTATCATAAAATGGTATCTTATTCTCGATTCATTTAGCTATGCACTCTTAATGAATTATAGACCTACTCAGCTCTAGATGTTTTTTACAAGAAACTTTAAAGATAATATTTTAAATAATGAATTTTCTTTTATTAATTCCATTTATGAATAATCAGTAGTGATTTTAATGTATTCAAATATTTTCTTAATTTTTACTAATTTACTATTTTTACGAATTATATAATTAAGTTTAAATTATTTATTTAATTATTTCACACTATTTACTTTCGGAAATTCATTATAGAAAAAAAATATATTTATTTTATTTTTAATTAGAAAATATTGAATATTGTGATAATTATTTATTTCAAATTTTATTTTTTTTACAAATATAACTCCATAAATAAATATTTATACAAATATGTGTATTTTTATATTTAATTACTGATATGATTTATATGATATAATTTAAATCAACTCTTTGATATAATTCTTGATTGTAGTATTTACAGTTTGACTTCTGGTCTATAGCACATAAATTAATCCTAAAATATACTAATTAATTAATTAGTAAAAGACATTATTTTTATTTAAAACTATTTAACGTGAAAGTAAACATTTAAAATTAGTTTTCTGCACAAAATCATGTCTTTGTAAGTAATGTTAACAAAAAGGTTAATTCAATTATATATTTATTGTACAAGAAGTCTTTAAAAAACAAACAAAAAGAGTGATGCGTTAATCAATTAACGAAGTACTCAAAGTTTCATTTTTTTCTCTTGACTGCTTACTTATGTAGACCAAATATTAACACGTGTGATGCATATAGTGTACTTAAAAAACAATTATTAAGGCTGAAATATTGACAAGGATCAATTGTTGATTCTGTATATATTCTATGCACAATTTGACATTTACTTTTTTATTATTATCATTATTTATCTCTTTAAATAAACGGATAATTACATTTTCATCTAATTTATTGCTAGGGGTTTTATCAAGTATAAAATAACGGCAAATACACAGCTAGTATCGAATTATAAATTATAAATATCTTTTCTCTGATTCATTTTAAAGTATATAACTTCTTTTCACAAAATAATCTACTTTATTCGATTTTGGTTTATTAAAAAAATATAATAAGCGTTATTTATTTAAATTGTGAATTATGTGAACAAGTAATTTATTGGATTAGAAGTTTTTTCAATTAAAACTAATTTAGTTTTTATTTTGACTTCATTAATATATTTTTAATTATAGTGTATCATTTTAATAATTGTATGTGTTGTTAATACTTTATTTGACCGAAGAAAGACAAATTTCGTTAAAATGTATATTTGAAAACTTTAATAACACATATTGTATAAACAAAATAATCACCAATTAAATGAAGAATGAAATTTTAAATTTAATATAAATGCTAAAATGCGTGCATTGGATAATTTTACTATTTATTTTAAACAATTTTTGTTCAATTATCAGATTAAATTTTATTTGCTGTTTCAGTATGGCTCTGACGAATTTGGGCAGGATTCACCAAGATATACGTCACCGAAAGCAGCTTCACTTTATGCAGATCCTTACTATATCGGTATGTAGCTCGATTATTCTTATATTAAAACTGAAGAATTACTATTGAGAAGAATTGTTGAACAAATCAATTTAATTATAAGAAATAGTTAGGTAATTACATAAATAGCCACAAACATTCTGATATGCCACGCAAGAGAGTTTGAAAATGCAAAGCGCATGATATATTATTATTCATTTATTTTATTAGTGAGAATATTTTAATATAATTTAATGTATCTCAAGATTAATAAAGTTTAGCTTTTCTGTATTTATACTTGCACACTAGTAAAGCATAAATAGACTGTCCGTCAGTTTTATAAATAGATTATTAATTATTACAAAACAGGGAATAAAGTGAATATTGACAGTGACGAATAAAAATAATAATCAATGGGAAAAAATAGAATAAAATATTTGAAACAAATGAACGATTCAATTTTATAGTTGAAACCATGTTAAAATTTTGTAAAACTAGATTTCGTTTTTATTTGGTGGAGCCGTTGTGTTTCATTCAATACTTGTATATCTAACTTCTACATCTAACTAATTTTATATATATACAACTGTAGAAATACCCTTACTTAATAACTTTTATTTAGTTTTTAAGCAATAATCGATTTAATCAAAGTGGCATCGTCAGCATTAATTTTAAACTTTAAATTTGAAATAAACGATCGAAGTGTTCGTTTATACATTTATTTCGTTTTGTCTTAGCATTTTATATAAAAGTACTATAACATTTGTTTTGCGTACGGATTTAAACATTCATTAATTACTTTACTTTGTTATAGATGGTAATTCTGCAGGAACGGGCCCTGGAGATCCATGGTCTGGTGGAGGTACTAGTGTGCAGCCACCATACAGTGGATATGTACCACCTCACTTAGCGCAACCAGCTTATCCTATGCACATATCGCACGATCCAATGGTAAGTTCACTTAAGCATGGGCAATCATTATATTTTTAATCACTGTATCTTGCATTTAGACAATTTTATTACTAGATGCATAATCTATTCTTGAATAGGTATGATGAAGTCTAAGCAGGTTACACGCGTTTATATAAAGTAATCTTGATGTTTCAATTCGAATATTATTGGTGACTAGCTATTTTTTATTTTAATGAATTATCTTCCAAACTTGTACCGATATTGGTGTAATTTCTAAAATAAGTATAACGGTGTAAAGAAACAGGGATGTTAGATTGTACATATAAAATGCGCGCAAGAAATCACGGTAGCTTTTACTGAGTAGTTGGTTCAGTCTAACACTTAGTATATAAGAGAAGGCATTAAGGAGACTTAGTAAGTGAAAGATGCGGTTTAATTACGTAAATTTAACAAAATTCGATATAAATTCTTATAATAGTTATAACGGTAAATTAATAATTGTTTCGGTGCTTTTATTTTCGAATGATTTTTCATTGTGTTTTTAATTATTTCATTATTTAATAAATCAATATTTTACTGTATTTAATAAAACATTAACTAATAGGTCGTATTGTTAGTGTATTGTGAGTATTTGATATATATGTCAATACGTTCTTATTCTATACTCACATTTTCATAACATCTCATTTACTTCATATTACAACATCATAGATTTTTTCTAATTTTCTAGTCGGAATTATTCAACTTCTAGTACTCCCTTCCTGCTCATATTAATCATTATATAAATTTTAACATTTATATAAACTCTTACTATCACATGTACTGTATTTTTAAAAAAAAAACCTTATTTATATGTGAATATATTTCCATATAAAATGCATATAAACTAGTATTTCATTACAAATATTTTTTATATATAACTTATAGGTTAGTGTTGTAGGATATTTAAGTTATTCACTATCACGTCTAGTGTGATTCTTTTCTTAAAATTAAAACATTTAAAATACAGATTAATCTATTTCAGGCGTACTCGTCTATGTCGCCAAATGGCGAGGGTCAAGCTCAGCCGATCCTTAGTTCAGCAGTAACATCGGCAGCGTCTTTGCCACCTATGTCATCGTTTCGTGGCAGTGTTACTGTTCCAAGTAATCAAGTCCAGGCTACTCCTTCACCGGCTTCACTTCAATACAGTCACAGCTCCAGCACAACCGTACCCGTACCTGTGACTGTATCTGTTGTTGCCACTCAACCAAACCAGGTGTTGACACCCCAGGCTAACTCCCAGCAACAACAGTCATCGACTGGTCAAGATACTCTCGGCAAAACTCTTGCATCTGTAGTAAGCAGCCGAGTATGTTTTTATTAATGCTCTATTTATATTACTATTCGTCATTTAAATATAAAATGATATTAAATTAGATCCTTAAATATAATGTAAGACTTATAATTTATATTGCTCAACTTTATTTGACAAACATCTCTTTCTATCTAAATACTTTATAAATTACCACTCTCATCAGTAGAAAGTGGAAAATAAATTAAACATAAACGCGTTTCGAGTTTATTTTGTAATTAATATAACAAAAGATGCACACACGTCTATATTAATTAAAATTTTAATTAATCTTTACTCAATGTGAATGTAGATTTATCCGACGGACCAATCGGTTTCAAGTTATAGCAGTAACCCGTCAACACCAGTGAGTTCGCCACCACCGCTAACCGGGTCGACGCCGGGTTGGGCTCCCAGCACTGGGCCTGTTTCTCCGCACTTAACAGCAGACTCGAATCGCGGTGCTATTCACTTGGTATGTAGTAACAGTTTTTACATAATTGGCTTAGTTTCTTTTTCTCTTTTCTTCGCACGTTAGTTCTTCGATTCGGTCAGTAACAAAATTAGTACATTACTACACCGTAGATTTCTCATGTTTAATTTTTCCTATTTATTATTAATGTAATTCCATTTTTTTTTAATTGACAAAAATTCATTAAAGACAGAATCAGTAAAATATACGTTATTTTTATTATACGTTATTTTTGCAAAATTTCTTTTAAATTTTATTTGATTAATTATTTCATTATAAGTAGAGTGCAACTTAATAATGTTACATTTTCAAGTTATTTTATTTATATATTTTTATCGTTAATAATTAATTTAATTTAAGTAACACAAATGAATAAATATTCAAAAACATCTGTTTACTTTCTAAATTAAAATATATTAAAAACTAAAAAGAAAAATATAAAATTTATCTACTAATTAAATGAAAATTGAAGTAAATTATAAATGAAGCATTCTATTTATTTGCTAAAAAGATACTAATAATCTCAGAATGAACAGTGTGAACTAGTGTATTTTTAAACATTTTATTTAATTTAAACGTGATATGTTTTGAATGCGATTACCATTCGTAGTGTTTTGGCTTGACTAATTCAGTAATTTATCGTTTAATATTTAGATTTATTTATAAGTTTACTTACAACGGCGAAAATGTATAATTTATACTTTTATTATTTGTATTAAATTCATGGATCATTACCAATTTCTTTTCGTAATTCCATATAACGTCGTTTTCATGTTTCAACGATTTTTAATTTTTTTTTTCATATGTGAAATAAATGAACTTCAAAAAGAGTGACAATAAAGTCAAATACAAAACTATGAAGCAAAACATAAAAATTTTTTTTTAAATTAAAACTAATGAAAAACCACTTTGTCTTCTGTATCTTTTTTTAAATGTAGTTAAGTTTTAAATTTAAATATAATATAGTTAATTAAATTGTATTTAAATTTATTCAATATATATATATTAATTTAATAAAATTCATGTCCTTAATGTTCTGACAAACCTTTATAATTTTATTTGGTTAAACCTATATTTCATTTACAAATATGATATTCAAAACTATATTACGAAAAAATAATACATAAATTATTGTTTATTAAGCTTATTTGATAATCGTTATCTGATAAAATTCGTTGTTATAAACTTTTTTCAATTAAAAATGTATGTAAATAATAAAAAATGTATATATTAAATGCACAGAAATCTTATTTATCATCCGGTAGATAGGGTATCACGCAAATTCATTCATATTTTTTGTATATTTATTAAAAAAAATTTTGTTGTTGCGTATGTTGTGTTTGATTTGGTTGTTTTTATTTTATTTTGTTGTTACGTTGGTGTTGTGTGTGAAGCCAGCGCCTGAACTGCAGGGGGTAGACGATGCCATTGGTTTCCTTCGCGACCATTCCAAGGTGAGGATCGCATATTATCATTTTTTTATCAATGCCATTAACCACGATTTTTTATTTCATCACTCAGATTCGTATTCATTTTATGTAGATTTTTTCACGTACTTGGTTATTTTTTATATTTTCATTTTTTAACAATTATCCATTGATATAATTAATGTTTTTAAAAAATGATGCATGCTGATTAATAGTAATTATTGGCGTTCAGGAGATGGAAAGTTTTTGTGTAATTTATAAAAACGATGATTTAAAAATATAAAAATAATGTACACAATATTTAAATTACAAACATAAACTACAGATTATAAAATTGATATTGTTTATAAGAATTAATATATGTCGCTATAAAAAAAATTAATTAACCAATCAAACTAATTAATATATTATCATTAACTTACCGATATCCTTTTAAATAACAATATTAAAGGTAAAATAATTTAACGTCTGCTCAAGTTTTTTAAGAATTTAAAAAAAAAATATTATTAATTAGTTTATAGTTATATACCATTACTAATAAGACTTATTTAAAAAGCTTCTGCGTAATCTTATCGTTTTTCTATATTCTGTTAATTCAGGGAACACGAATGGAAGAACCATATCATATGGATGATGCTATAAATGTTTTAAGGAATATAGCAGAAAGTCAATCTGGACTTCATTTAGGACCTGTAGGTGCGCATGGTGCAATTTATTCTCATACTTCGCCATCTCAAATGGACCATTTGGTAAATTTTTTTTTTAACGATTAAATCTTTATCTATTAACATAAACAATATAAAAAATAACAGTTTTTCAATTATCTATATGTAGTTAGAATATATAATTGAAAAAAATTATATGACGGATTTTTTAAAATTTATATAAATAAAACAGGTTTTATTATTTAAATGGTCGATCAATATATTTTTTGAATCCATGCTTAAATTACTATAATAGTTTATTTTGTAAAATAAAACATTTAACGATAAAACGTGTATCTAATTAGCATTTTTATGAATTTATTGGAATATTAGAATATTAAAAGTAACGATTATAGTTTTATATTGTTATTGCTTTGTTATATATAAATATTATTTACATGTATAAATTTAATTAATATTAAAAAAAAATTACTGAATGAAATCATCTATACTTTTAGACAAGCTCACACCCAACAGTGACTGTGTCACAGTCACAAAATTCATACTCGGGTTTGACTCCAACACCCGACACTGATGGTTCTATAAAAATCGAGAGGCTACCCGTTGCAAATACAAGTAAGTATTTGTTCAGAAAAAAATTGATATTTTTTTAGATATTGCTCAAATTTCACAAGATACGAAGTCGGACTTTCTCAATTCCTTGCATCTGCGATAGTAAACTAATTAGAAAAGTTATATATAGTATAAATAAGAGACCATAAGTGAAAAGTATAAATGGAAGAGAGTAATGTTGCTCTTTACAAAAGTAGTTAGGCTTATGCCGTCAACAACTGTATTTGTAAGGATAGAGCAAATGATAATCGCATAGCAAAGAAATTATTTATATTGAAATTGTTTTTTCATTAATAAATTCAATGATAAAAAATGTTATTCGAAGGCCGACTACTTGCATGTATAAAGTATCTTTAGTAGTAGTGTGTAATAACTCGAGTACAAGATTTAAACTATTAATTTAATTAATTTATTAGTTTTAATTTCGGAAATAATTTAATAATATAATTTTAAAATTGTCATTATATTTTAAAAAATATTTGAAATAGTTTAGACAAAATAGTCAGCTATTTAAATGTACTACCTTTTAATAAGCGTTCAGATTAATCTAACAATTATTTTTAATGAATAGAATACATCTCTATAGAAAAAAGGAAAGACCCACCAGATAGTAGTGGAGGTGAAACAAAACCCTCTAGCAGTGAGTTAGTTGTAGCTGCGGGAGTTATTGGAGCAGCTCAAGTGAATTCAACGTCGCAAGGGAAAGGCACAAAACGCTCGCGTCGATAGTAAGTATTTTGACCACTTGAGTTCTTATTATGTTATTTAAGAGTTTATTATTGTAAAATTCGAGAACTAGATATTTTGTATATGAATACTAAAATATGTATTACAAATATACTTATACAAATTCCACATATGATTCGATAAATAAAACATCAAACTCTAAATACAAATTAAAGTATTAAGGTTTAGGTAATTGCATTATAAACAAATTCACTTTCACGGAATCTTATTATATGCACATTATCAAGGTTTTCGTATTCCTAATAAACTTTATATTGATTCTGATAATATTTTACATTCAAATTAAACTAATTTTTTTTTGTCTTTAAAACTTGTTGTTCGAGCGCTGACGAAGACTGTGACGACCCTGGCACTAAAGCAGTGCGTGAAAAAGAACGTCGACAAGCCAACAACGTTCGCGAAAGGTTAGTGAACACACGCAATACGCACTTTGATGTATTTTAGTAAAAACTATCATTTAGCTAATCAGCTTTTCCAAGCTGCTATCAATTTATATGTAAATTATTTTTAATTTATTTGAACTATTTTATGAATAATATGAAACATGAATTCAAATGCGTTGATCTAATAAATTACTTCGACTAATTGAACGATTTATCGTGTGTTGGTTTTTTAATAGACTGCACAGTTTGTTATGATTGGCCAATACTTCGAGTGTAACCATTAAAATCGTGTGTTCTTAAGATTCGCATTTAGATACAATTAATGCTGATGGTTTATTCAGTAATAATTTTCTATGAGAATGCAAAATACATATATTTTATTGATACTTTTCTCGAACATTTTTCCAAATCGACTTAAAATCTCAAACAGCACTTATATTCAATTAATAGTCAAGCCATGTTATCTTTACTTTTTATCTTTCTTGTACATATTCCATATTTATTTTCCATTACATTTGCTACTTTTTCATTCATTTTTAATTTTATTTTATTTAAAATAGAATTTGTTGAAAACTTGAAATTTTTATGTTAATCTCTTATAAAATTTTAATTCGTTGTAGGATTTTCTTGTAAATTCTAATTTCATTTTCATTTAATATTTAAACTTATTTATTAATAATTTATTAAAACATGTCTTTTATATTTTAATAGTATTATTATTCGATAAGTATAATTATTAATTAATGTTAACATAATTACTTTAGCTTCAACAATTTTATTAGTTAGGATAATAATTATATAATTGATATTTCAATTTTCTTAAGATTGCATGAAATCAGTAAAGTTGAAGTTACTATTTTGTTATATGGATTTCACAACTCTCAGTCACAGAGTTATTATGTTTGTATATATTGCAAATTATTTTATAATATTGAACTTTATATTTTGTTTTGTATATATACAGATATAAAGTATTTATTTTATATGTTTATGGAATACGAATTTCATTTTAATATATAATGAGAGCTAGTTGAGTTCCTTTTTCAACAAATTATATTAACTATTAGTGGTTATTCTGTAACTGATAATATTAAAACAGTATCATTGTGACAAGAATACGGACCTATTAGAACAAACTGATAATTTAACCATTTGGTATAATAATATGAAATATATGTTGTGACACTCTTGTACATTTTTATTCCTAAAATTGTGCGTGTGTTCACCCAATATTTATCATCCATCAAAATGCAGATAATTTTATTTTTATAACATATAACCATAAGTTTGCCTAATATTGATCGCTCGAACAACATTTAAGCTTAACATCTGTTCATAGAATTGCACAAAATTATGTATGTTGGAATTTGTTTGCCAATATCTAAATTATCTAAGTCATATAAGTTTAGTATAAAATAAATAACTATATTCGAGGTGATTAATCAAGTATTGTTATTGCGAATTTGTTGTTCGAGCGCCGAGGATGAAGACGACGATCCTGACATAAAGGCACAACGAGAAAAGGAGAGGCGTCAGGCTAACAATGCTAGGGAAAGGTAAGAACAAGAGTTTAAACACATGAATTGGAACTATAATCAGTTTTATTGGTAATAAATTGTTTTTTAATAAAATATTTCATATTTTAATAAAAATAAAAATAAAAAATGCAGAGGTTTAAAATTGATTAATTTTTACAATGTACTTTATTCACTGGCCCGTATTCTAGATCACACGATGAAATTTATACTAAGAATATAATTTGTGCTTCATAAATTATTATTTGTTACTTTTGTCTAATAATTTAGAATTTTATATTATTTTTATTTGACGTTTTGTACAATGACTAATTATTCTAGTAATATGAAAAAATAAAGCTTAAAATTAATCTAGTCATTTCATTTAAATTATTTTTCTCAATATACGTATTATATTATTATTATAGGATACGTATTCGAGACATCAATGAAGCCTTGAAAGAGCTTGGCAGAATGTGCATGGCACACATGAAGTCTGAAAAGCCGCAAACTAAACTTGGAATTCTTAATATGGCCGTTGAAGTTATAATGGCATTAGAACAACAAGTTAGAGGTGAATTTAAAGCAATTGATTAAAAAAGATGTAATATTTATATTTTAAGTTTGTATTTTAAGTTTTATAATAATAAATAATGATAAACTTTAAAAAAATTATAATTAGCAATTCAATTTACATTTTTTAAAATTCAATTTACAATAGATACCTGAAAATATACCATTATTAATATTTATAGTACGAACTATATCCCATTTTTATTATCAAGAAATAAAAAATATATGTAATATATATTCGTAATTTTTTTTCATTAATTGTATAATTTAATTTTGAAGCTTTATGCTATATGGAAACTTTTTCAGTATTTTTCATAATAAAGTTGTTACGAGAGAAATATATAATTAATCGTCAGTATAGTAACTTAATATAAATCGTATATTGTAGAAAGAAATCTAAATCCAAAGGCAGCATGCTTGAAAAGAAGAGAAGAAGAGAAAGCAGAGGATGGTCCTAAGCTTCCTGGGCATCTTGCAGCGCATATAGCTCACTCACATCCACATCCACATTCACATGCACATACGCAACCGCCTTTTTCAGCAATGCCTGTAAGTTTTTAACATTATTTATAAGGTAGAGAAAAATTTTTTTGTAAACCTCAGGTCAAATAAAATTTTTAACTATTTTATATATTAAATTAATTGCTTTTTTAATTAATTTTAGTTTTTAATAAAAATATAAAAAGGTTATTTTTAAATCATATAAAAGCTAATGATTAAAATAAAATTATTTGGTCTATATACAAACAATACAAATATCTTTAAATGTTAACGTTTAATTTACAATATAGTGACGTTAAATAAATAAATGAAATTTTTTGCATGTTATTAAATTTCAGTGGAACTATAGTGTCATTTATACATTGAAATTTAGTAACAAAAATATTGTTTCAGGGTCCTCCGCCAACTAATCAACACACCGCACAGCCACCGCAGTAGCAAAGGTTGTGTACCGGCATAATGATGTAGGTCTCCATAATACCGATTTACTTTCTGGCCTTCTTTCAGCTGCTCGGCAATGTATTTTATGTGTTCTCTTTTGTCATCTGTGAAAGAGTAGGAGCGCGATAATTTATCCACATTTGCGAATTATCTTTCACTTGCGACATTGATAAGAACAACACCGTTATACGGCGAAAGGATGCTCGAGGGAAAATAAAAACTTATTGTAAAGTACTCTTTAAAATAAAGCGAGTGTACGAGTGTCTGACCTCGGATTAGCTGTATTTTTTTAAAGGATTACAAAGGGCGGATTTGATATTCAAGGTTTCGCAAAGCGATTCAACAGCGCCGCCATGTAATAAGGAAAATTTGGGATTGTTCATAAATTCAAAAAACAGTTGGTCTCATTCTCTGCGGTAGAATGTGAATATACTCATGTATTACGCACTCTTTCTGCTAAAGAAATGTTGAGCTTACTAATTTCGTGGTCACGTGTAGACTATTTACGCAGTATCTTTGTATTTACCATATTTTATATATTTTTATGCGTTAATACATCAAACAATGTTCAGAATACTTATATCTAAATATGTTTATTGTACAAGAGCATTTTTATGCTACAAATTTCTCCGGAAATATAAAACTTTTCTTTCGCGATGAGAAGTATTCCTTTATTCACAAAATCAATGACTTGATTTGGTACTTAACCGTTAATGAAGTATTTATGAAAGTAAGAACTAAACGGTATAGAAAAATTCAAGACTATCATTGAATAAGTTCAAATATATATTATGCGTAATTGTATATATTATATATATTGCAATAACGCATGTCTATTCGATTATCCAAATAAACTTAAAAATACCACAGACGGTTATTATTTACCGACTATTATTATCATCATAATCATCATTATTTTATCAACTGATAGATTTAATTATTTTAATATTATAGATTTATAGTATGAGAGAAGGAAATTCTTTGTAATTAAGAATATATTTTTGTCTAAATGAAAATATATCCTAGATTTATTAAATAATCATTCATTTCTAAAGTAATTAAATACTTATTATTTAAAATACTATTTCGATTGGTATTTTCAGTGATAAATTCAAACCTCATACTCTAACTAAATTATTCTTTATAAACATGATTACATATATAATATATCCTTAATGTACCAATTACTTTGAAATATTAACATCAATTAATTGATTTGTGTAAATTTTCATATTCAAATGCATGTTTTCTATGTTGTAATACAGAAATATATTATTGTATTATTATTTATCAGCTTTATTTTGTATTTATCATTGATTAATTTGGTGATTTGGTTTCAAAATGATAAATTATATTATTTTTAAATGAAATTTTATTACGGTTTGACCTAAATTTAAATGAATTAATATAAATGCATACAAATACCACAATTTTAAATATTATTTTATTTAATACTATTTTATTATATATCAATAACTAAAATTATTGAATGATAATTTGATAATCTAATATTTTTGAAGTGCAAACAATTTTATAAATAGTTTGAATGATAAAATTAGAAAAATCGTATATGATTTAAATGTCCTAATAATAATTACATAGATAATAAATTTGGATTAAACGATTCCACTTTGTATCATAAATAATTTAATTTTTTAATAAAAAGGCAGAAAAATTAAATTGAACGTTCCATTATTATTTGAATTATTTATAATTTAATTTTTCTAATTAGAAATTGTAAATTTTCAGTGTTATACGCTTCTTCTATATAAAATATGATTACAATTACATATAAAAATATAATAAAATAATTGGTCTTGCGGGAATTCAACACTGATTTTATGGATATAATAGATTATAATGTTTATTTATTTGTTATGATTAAATACTTGGATTTCCTTCTCAATAATTTCTTTATTTTGTCAAATTCGCAGTTCGTACGTCTATTTGATATACTCTATTATATCTTTATAAATATTGAAAGAAAAAAATATGAATTAAATCGATGCTTCTATTTATGTGCACATGCGCGCGCGTGCGCGCATACTTCATACGCACACATCGATAATAAAGTTGTGTAATATTGTAAAAACATATTGAGCATATTGAAGAAGTCCTTTGACATCGGAAAGCGAGTTTTTTTACAGCATTAGCTTTCATCAGCTCATTGAAATATATTTTCTATTTTATTAATGGCACTCTTTCTTCAAAGGGTAGTATTATGGCTTGGACTAGATTTTATCAGAGAACTGAATTTAGAAAATTAATCATTTCTTTTATAAGCTTTAATAATGCACTATACTATACTATTAGAAATATCCACCAATTTTATTAATAACAACATACAGTTATATCTTATAATTGTTTTGATTCTTTTTAGAGATATTGATAATTTAGTGCTCTGAAATTACTTTGTTTAACAAAGTATTTCATTTGTTGTCATCATAAGAATATTTAATAACAAGATCAATTAAATTTTAAATCGTTTTTTTTAAATAATTAGATTTTGAAAACCAGTGAATAAATTAATAATAAGCCTAAATTTAAAAAATAATGCATTTCTAATAATAAATTCTATTTTTTCAGTTATAAACTATTATAAAAAAATATCTACGTTAAAATCTGGTTATTAAGTTACCAAACATTTAGACAACATAAAAATAAATAGAATAACAAAAGAATTGTAAAAGATAAATCATAAAAATAAGAACTATTATTATTTACTCGCAGAACGATATTTATATGTTAATTGTTTTCAACATAAGAAATCTTGAATTTTAGAAAGAGAAAATTGTGAAGCAGCTCTCGAAGACTTCCGTGTAAGGACAATAACGTTGATTGCGACCTTGTTCAACAATAATTAATTATAATTGTAAACCTCTGTCTGCGCTACAAGATAATGTTATGTAAAAGAAAAGAATGAGAAAATTAGCGAGAAGTAAAGAAGAAGGTGATACAGCGGAAGGGAGAGAAAAAATATATAGAGAGGAAAGATGATAGAAGGAGAGAAAGATGAGAGAGAGTGTGAGAGAAAAGAAGATAAAAAACGGAAAAACTCTGATATAAACTGTACATTATAAACTAGACACATTGAATCAAGCTGAGTTGACTCAGCGTGATAATTATTATTTTGATTATTATAATAATTATAATAATTTTATTATTTTAATTTTAATTATAGATCATCATATCTGCAAATATAATGTGAGAATCAATGGCGATAAAAATACTTTTGTAAAAGTTCTTGTGTGCAGAAGACTTGCGAAGGTAATCATGTAAAATAATATGACTATAAATAGGTTTTAAGTTCAGCCTGTAAGTTAGACTCATCGACAGTTATAGATAGTTCAAATGCGTTAATATGGAAGAATGCAAAAGTGAAAGAAGAATAGTAAATAATGAATTATGAATAAATGTGAAAAATGAATGGAAGAGAGTTTGTAAATGGTTATTGATATGCGGAATGAAATAAAATAAAATGGAGATGCATCCATGGTTCTCTAAAAACATGGTTAAACAACCAATCCGTTAAATTTAGTCCATATGAGAAGCGTTTGTGTATAACTATACAATCTACAAGTAGCCAGGAAAAAATTATGAAGAATACTATGTATTTATACTATAAATATTTATGCTATATAAAGTATTTTGTTTCTACTTTCTATTACAAAATCTGCATAAAATATAGGCATGCAAATATACAGATGAAAATGCATTCAAAAAAGCAAGCATATGGATATGGACAAATTAAAGCATGAAATGAAGGTTCGATTGAGAAAGAAAAAATGTTTACTTACCACTAGTAATATTATCACTAATAACATAATAAATGTGCCATTTTTCCAAATTTTCTAAGTTTTATTTTGTATTCCCATTGAGCCTTTTGTTTTCATAAAATATGATATGACATATTCATAATTATTTTCATAATAGATGAGTATTTTTTTTTTAGACTATAGAATAAATACTATTTTTCAATCAACAAAATATATTGTTTAATTAAATTATCCTTATACAAAAATTTCTTTTATAATAATTTCGTTTATTTGCGTATTCGAAAGTAAAAGTATAAATAGAATTTCTCAACTTTATTATTACAAAAATTTCCTAATAAATTAAAGAATTTTTTTTAATATTTTGTTGTGCATTTAATTTATTTCTTCTGTAAGTGACGTAAAAAGTTAATTAATATTGATAATAGCAATAATACTTTATATTGAAGATTTTTGTCTTGCATTAATTATGCAAATCGGCATAAATGTTTTTAAATTATAGTATTATAGTCTAAATTACTTATTTTTTAATGTAAGAATATCTATAAAAAAATGAAGTATAAATCAAAGATTTATGTATTATATATTGTAATAATATAATTTTAAACAGGAAACATTTTTTCGAAAAATGAAAAACGTAAGCTTAATTTATAAAAATATTTACGAAATGAAAAATCATATTTTTTTACTATTTTTAATGTTTAATAAACAGTAAAATAATGTGTTGAATTCACTGTTTTTAATTGCTATTTAAAATATTTTATATAAACAAGTATAGTTAATGTTATGTGAATTTAAGATTATGCATTTCATTAAACAGTTAATGGTAATTTCGTTTGTCTAATCATGTTTTCCTTTACAATGCAATTTGTAAAAATATTCTGACTGTAAAATAAAGTAGTAAAAATAGTTTCTTAATATAAAATAAAATATTAAGTATTTAATAATAAATAGTGTAATTTAAAATCAATTTTTCATTATTGTTTTCATTTTAGTATTATCATTATATTATTATTTAAGAAAATAGAAGTAAATTAATTTTTAACTAAAGTATTTTATCTTAAAATTGAAATAATTGACTAAATTTCATATAGAGATGCCTATATTAACTTATTAATTTTATGAATATTAGTTAGCAAAAAAGTTATCATAATAGTGATTTTTCAAGATTATTATTGATTTTTGTTTTTTATAATATATGAAAATATAAAAAAATATATATATATAAATGATATGTGCAAATTTATATTAATTGCATACATAAATACACTTATTTCAAGTATCACTTTGTAATAATATATAACAACATTTTATAATTTTAAGTTTAAGGAAAAATTAATTTTTTATACTATAAACTAGAAATATTAATTATACTTAGTTCACTTTCTATATTATAAACATTATTTATAATTCTATAATATATATATATATATATATATATATATATTTATAATACTTAATAATTTTACATACTAATTATACTGTTTTCATTACTTATTATAAATTGATATCGTTAAATTAATATGTGGTTATAGAATCAATCCTATAATTATCCTATTATTTTATCTTAATATTTATGCTATTTATGTTATTACAAGTATTTACTATTACTTTGATTCATCAAATATTCTTTATATACATCTTGTAAAAAATCATTTTTAATATCCTTTTGAAATAATAAATTTTAAATTTCAATTTAATGATATTGTTTTTATTAATTATTCAAATAATATTTTTTGAACTTAAATTTTAATAAGTTTCCTAAATATTAAATTACTAAATATTAAAACTACATTACTTTTTTAATTTATTATATA